TATATATATATATATATATATATATATATATATATATATATATATATAAGGGTATAATTGTCGTTTTAAGTCGATCAGGGACCAAATTCGAAACAAAAATAAATCGTAGGGACTATTCGAGTTAAAAAAAAGTTGTTAGGGACCAAGCATGCATATTACCTCAAACCACAGGGACCATTCATGTAGTTTACCCCTTTTTAAAATTTATTATACTATGTTTAATATTTTACAAACATACCTTGTGTTGATCAGAAATTAAAACCAAACCACTTCCTTCATTCCAACACTGCAAATCTTCTGAAAGACTTTCAATGAACCATTTCCAATTCGATCTCCTTGTTTTCAACACACACAACTGCCCAAGCAATTGGGAATATTCCATTGTTGAACAGCACAAAGCAACTCACTTTGGCAAAACGTTTTCAGGAAACAACCATTCAAGTTAACGATCCTTTTACACCCTCCCCTCCACCCCTCTTTAACTGCAGTAAAGCATATGTAAATCTTGTTTAAGTAATTCTTACCATCAGACATTGTATCCACATAAATTTTAACCGTGGATCTAGGATTTGATCTTTTAATCTCCTCACCGTAAGACCATATTTTAGCATAATTTTCTACAACCGTGCCTTCAGTTAGACTCAATGCATACTTCTTGGCTCTCCTACACTGACTCATACTTACAACAAGGCCAAAAGTGGTGTTCACCTCCCCTCTAAGTAATCTCACACTCATCTTTTGATTGTTAAAAAATGTTGGGTAATGTGGGTACCTATCCACCTATATGTGACAATTGATCCAAATTTGAAATTCTTTGAACAATTATGGTCATTAATAAGAGACTTGATTTGGAAAGACTTATCATCAGTCATCCATGAACCCCAAACCCTAAATGTACATTTTCCATCACAACATTTGGCTAGCAGCTGTCTACTATCATTTTTCACAAAACATAATTGATAACCATTTGCAACAGTACAGTTACAGAGCATGTGTTTCAATTGTTTAGGACTCTCAAACCTCATACCTAACACAGGTTCCTGCTCCTTCCAGTGCAGTTTTTCATTGAAAATATTTGGAAACTGAGGATAAACTTCTTCATCGTCATCCATGGATTCTTCCAAAGGGTCACCCAAAGCTTCATTCTCACCCATGTCGACATCAGGGCCATTATCCTTTTTGAAAGAATGAGGGCTTCTATGGTCATCCTCGTCTTCATTAGCATCCACATCGTCAGTCCCATGGTCATCATCATCCTCATCTTCATCTTCATCCCCATCCTCATCCTCATCCTCATCCAAATGGACTGTCTTAATTTCCTTAATTAGTCTTGCACCGTCAATCACTTCTTCCACTATGTTATCAACAACCTCTTCTTTGTGTTCTTCCAACCATTCTGGCATGTTACTATTACCAAAATGGTCTACATACATAGGGAGTATAACACCACATTCATAAGCTATTGCTATGAAATCGACATAATCCAACTCATTGGAAATTAAGTTCAAACCTTTGGGAAAATGAATATCTAGTTGGCAGTAATAGAGCTTCTCACACTTTTCTCCAGTGAGCCTTTCGATAAACTCATAACACTCGTTCTTGTCCATTCCTGCGAAATCGATGTCTGACAACCTCTGAGTAATCCCCCCGGTGTAGCGTATGGGGTATTTTGCGAAGATTCCTTAGAAATTCACATCGACTTGGATGAATACGGGATCCATGTTTGAGATTTGAGGAGACGAAAGTGAATAAGGGTTTATCAAAAGAGATGGATGTGGTGAACAGTCGACGGGAAAAAATCTCATTTAAGTAAAGTTATTATTAAATGACATGGCATACACAGTCAGCAAGCCAAGGGGTTTAAGTAACACAAGTGACATAAATATGACCGGCTAACCCTTCACAAATGAAATAATGACGTAATTGACCTGACAAAATAAAGTTCATTCCATCGTAAAGCCACTAAATAAGTTAAGTGATTAAAAAGGTAAACCTTAGAAAATTCATAGGTTCGTATGTGTCATTTTCCCTAACCCTTTACTCATGGAAAGAACCGCCACCCCCTGTTGCATTCATCTGCCTCTATCTATCGTCGGAATGCACCTCTCTTTTTATGTCACCACCTTCGGAAAGATTGTAAGGAAAAGCATCGCTTTAAGGAATTGGGGCCAAACCAATAATGCTGACCCTAATGATCTAACCGCCACTACCCTCTCATGCTCTCCACCGCCCTTGACCGCCACGTATGTATTCCCATCGACTTCTACCAAATGCTCAGCGCGGAGTCTCACTTCCTCGGAGACGGAATTAGAATATGTTATGAAGCTAGGTCTTTGAAACCACATCAGTATGAATATAATGACGACGCATTGATTACCCAGAGGCAGGTTCTTCAAGCAGCTTGTGAAATCCTAACAAACCCTAACTCGAAAAGGGAATATGATGAATTCAATACAACCCTCACTGATGTTCCATAGGATGATGTAATACTCTAATTTTCTTCGCTATACCTCGTCAAGTTTTATACGACATCAGTGTAAAGCATAATATTATATGAATTACACTAGATTCGGCTAGGAAAGAACAGTTGGAGAAAGAAAAGTTGGCCAACAATCTAACTTACTAGTCATGTTTATGATATTTAACGAACAACATTGAATAAATATTAGTTAATATTAGACTTTTCAAGGTTCTTGGAGCCCTATGCCTATTACAAGAAGTATGAGAGGATGAACTGGTGCTTCTAATTAGTGAAAGTTTACTGAAAGAGAGACTACCCAAATCATTCAAGCAAGAAAAATGAAATTTTTGGCTATGAAATTTTGGATGTTACAGTTGTGTTGGCAATGGCACAGTCCTATGTTGAAATTTCAAGGGACACTATGACATTGTGTCCTCCATATTATATTAAGGGTTGTGAATTGATGGAGACGGTACTGAAGTTATTACAGGTAATACTTTTAATAATAAAAAAATCCTTTTAAAACTTTGCTTTTGTTTCTTTTCTGTTTTCCTATAAAAAAAATGGCATCTTGAAACACCAGGTCGAGTAAGAATGAAGTTTTAAGTTCTTGAAACCTCATATGTTGTTCTTGTTTATTTGCTCTTGTTTAGGAAGAAGGTACAAGCAGTCTTGCACCAGATCTACAAGCACAAATTGATGAAGCTTTGGAAGAGATAAACTTTCGTAATGTCATAAAGCTTCTGGCCTTACCTCTTGATGGTGAACACAGAACAAGAAGAACAGAAGGACTTCAAGGTGTACACAATATCTATGGGCAGTTAGAGGAGGTGGTGTCGCTGGCTGTTTTACACATGAAGATTTCATGAATGAAGACTTTTGAGGATGACAGAAGTGGAGTAGGTTAGGGTGCATTTAGTTGTGGAAAAATGGGCCGTTTTCCGGAAAAAATTTCCAAGAAAAATGTGAATTTTGAAAAAGCGTTTAGTTCGTCTATTTTTCTAATTTTTTCACGGAAAATGTAAATTTTCTGTTTTCTAAAATTACAAAGAAGTTGAAAATTTTTGGAAAACCAATAATCATTGTTTTCCACATTTTTCTAATTCCAAAATTTTTCTAAAATATA